GTACCCCCTTATCCACAGCCCTGTGTACAGGGAATGGTGCTGCTTAGGTAGCTCTCCCAAGAGCTGTTTGCCTGAGTAGGGATTGGATATGCAAGGAGGAATACACCAAAGCAGAACATATTAAGTCCAGATTTAATTTTGTGTAGATCCTTGTAGATCCAGCGCATTTCAGGGGGTTCAAAGTGTTCTTCATCAGGGCTCCATTTAACAAATACAAGTTCATATTCAGTAAATTCTATTGACTAATATGTAAGTGATATAGAATATATAATACAAATTTAGAAACATGGGAAGATAATATAGCTATAAAATGTTTGAAAAAAATTAATTTTATAGCTATTTTTTTATATATCTTTTTCCCATATTTCTTATCTGTAGCTGACTTCCCAAAGTTACATTGTATATCCCTATGTATCTATGCTCGTTATCCCATATCACTTATATACCAATCAATACTTTTTACTGATCAGGTGGATGCCCCATGGTTATATTTTATTAAAAGGTTATATTGTTTTCATGGATGATGTCTATGATTAGATTTTTTCATTAGAATATTGCACTGTTTAGCTGTACTTGCTCTTCTGAGGTGGCACTCCCTGGGAGGTAAGAGTTAACACTGCTGGCCAGGTTTTCCTGGGCTTTTTGGGGAGGTATCACCTTCTGCTGGGGCAAACACATAAAAAAGGGAGGGAACCACCTCTCGCAGAAGCTGTAGTTTGTAAGACAGCCGCAGGTATGGTTCCAGGTCTTCCTACTTAAACTGGTTGTAAACCTCAGACATGAAATATGAACAAAGCATATCCCACTATAGTGTGTACTTGTCTCCATTAAGAACACTAAGTGTCATTCTGTATGCTGCTTTATTACTTTTATTACTCTGATATCAGCATGAATCACTTCTGACAAGTTTCCCTGACACCAATAGAAAGAAAGGTGACACAAGAGGGATCTCCAGCACACAGCCTGTGACTGACAGCCTCAGCTCTGCTCCTGTGTGATGTGTGAAGATGGGGGTGTCCTCTCCCTCCAATCAGCTCTCAGAGCTCTCCTCACAGAGTTCTGTAGCGTGTAACTTCAGTTCTCCGCCCCCTGATTTCTTAACTCTCAGACAAGCTTTATACATTCTGGACTTTGAAAGGCTGTAGCATAGAGATGACTGTAGATAAACAGGTACAACTTATGTAGGAGAATTTGTATCATCTCCGTGTATCACCTGAGGCCAGTCACTTCATTTGGGTGTATGTAAGGGTTTACCACCACTTTAAGGAACTGTATAATGCTAAATATGTGAACTGCTTCTTGCACTTACAGCGGATTTACATCCACTCCCCCTGTTTTTTTTTTATTTTATCCCTGTTTACTGGAAGGTGGTATCCAGGGGCGGACTGACAACTCATGGGGCCCCCGGGCAATAGGGGATCATGGGGCCCCTGCGTCCTTGCCCACACTCAAAAAATGCCTATGAAAGGTACCAGGGGCATTTCATGGGGCCCCCTACTGACCCTGGGCCCTCGGGCAGTGCCCGAGTTCTCGAATGGTCAGTCCGCCCCTGGTGGTATCTGCACATTTCAGATACTCACCCATCCAGTGGATCCAGTGTTGTACCCTCTTATGCCCTGCCACTGCTCTGTCTTGTGCTGCCATGCTGTTTCTGCTGTTATCAGGAGGCCTGGTGACTATTCCAGGTTCGGCGGGCGGGGCTCCTGATGACGTGCCGATAGACCCAACCCCCTCCTCTTCTCCTGAATGAAAGGCTATGCCTTTAAAAGGACTTTTCTCTCCTATTCAAGATATGACTACCTTGAGGGCAATCAGGGGCACCAGTGGACTAACCAAGGGGCACCAAGAAGATTATGTATTGAAGATATTGTTATAGAACTGTTCATTTATATTATTGCAACAACTTCAGTAAAGAATGTTTACTGTTTTCTTACCCAAGAACTCAACATAGGGATGGTGGGAACGTCTCCTAATGGGCACAGCAGGTGTGTAGACCCAACTCGGCTCGGGGATGGTGGAAACCTCTGAGAATAGACAAGGTGTGTAGACCTGGGAACTCAACTCAACTGATTGTGGGAACCATTCACAATAGACACAGAGGCTGTGTAGACCCAAAACCTCAGTGCATGGATGGTGGGCACTGTTCATAATGAACACAGAAGGCATGGAGACCCAGAAACTCAATGAAAGGATGGTGGGAACCCCTTATAATGGGCACATGAGGTATGCAGACCCAGAAACTCAATGCAAGGATGGGAAGAACCCTTCATAATGTGCACAGTGGGCTTGCCAACCCAGAAACCCTTCGCAGAGATCTCACCAACAGAATCCCTGAAGGATAGAAGAACCTTTCAGGGGGTCTTCTTTGTGGGAAGGAATTGATCCGTGGTGAATGTACAAACTTTATGCAGGTAGTTCACTCAAGGACTTTCAGTGCTAGAAGGCGAGGATGCTGCACACATAATAGTCAGTTGAAAGTCCACGGGGGAACGCAAAGGCATGCTCAGCGCAGGTAATGGCGTCTCGTGTAAAACACAATGAAATAAGATACGGGACGCTTAGCTTCTGTGCAGAGACATGATCCTGCTGTCTTGTAATGAGGTCTGTAATACAAGTGGGGTCATTTTTCTTCCTGACGTTTTACATCATCTCTACACACAGCCGAGGATGGTCTGTAATGTCACACTGTCCAGGCATGGGATTTCTCTGTCCCTGGGATTGGATGTATCAACCCTCTCTTACCAGTAGTGTTACATGTGTAGAATGTTACCATGCTGGTTGAAGAAGAATATATTAAAGCAGAACTTTCTTTCAGTCTTGCTCAGTTGTACTGGCTCCTCTCCTGGACTGAAATTACTTCCTCTGATTTCACTGCACTCTTTGATCTTCTCACAATCTTTATTAGAAGACAGATACTGCCTCCCATCCTGGCTGGAGGACGTCCAGCATCATCCAGCCCAGTGTTTTTTCTAACCAGGGTGCCACGAGCATGGGACCTAGTTTGCCTTGGATCAGCATCATAAGTTACCATGGTGGCCAGCGGCCAGCACCATAAAAAGAAATTACAAGCTAGGGCCAGAAGGCGCAGTCTCATTTGTTGCTTTGGTGATGACAGCCAGCTCACCGGGAACATGGCAACGCAAGACTCTGAAATAGGGCAGGTGGCATGAAGGGCTGCCCCCAGCATTTAAGAGAAGCTGTAAGTCCATCTCCTCCAGAACTACTCCACCTCCAGTCCTCTGCCATAGTCTAAAGGTAGGGCTCTGATGTGAAGTAGGAACTGTGTGATAGGGGGACTGTGCATTTTGGGTGCTCTATGTTGGGGGGGGGGCTGTATGATTGGAGGATTCTATGACAGGAAGCACTGTGTGGTTGGGAGCTCTATGATTATGAGGCTATGTGCTGAAGGAACTCTGTGGTGATGAGGGACTCTGATGTGTTACCAGGCTCATGTATAGGGGGCCTCTGATGTATAGAGGAAACCCTGATGTGTTGGGAGGGCCTCTGATGTGGAGGGGGGACTCGGTGGTTGGAAAGAATATGATGTGATTGGGAGACTTTGATGTGATGGGTGATCCATGCATAGGGATCCTCTGATGTAGAGTGGGCTCTAATGTGATGGGGGGGCTATGGTGTGATGGGGGGGCCTATAATTTCAAGGGAAAACGCTATGAAGTTTATTTCACGAAGGCTATTGTGTGCAATGTCCCAGGCTCAAGTTTTCCATTGGTAAATAACATTCATATTTTTTACATTTTAGACTGGGGTGCCTCAAGACTTTGCATACTTTTAAAGAGTGTTACGAATAGAAAAAGTCTGGAAAACACCACTACACTCCAACCTGACTGTCCCTGTCTCACCTCTTTCTTTCATTCATTGGATTTCAGTTCCTTCAATCATAGAGAGCATCACATGTTGGCATTACCTGGGGCGGTCCGTATACAAATACAGCCTGTCTAGGAACTCCCATTCCCGCAGACTGACACCCACCAATTAAGGTATTTTGATATCAGGGAGAGCTGTAATTTTCCACTGTAATCGGCAGGACTGAGCTGTCAGTTTGACAGCTCAGTCCCACACGGTGCAGGAGACGGCTGGGTGGTGCAGATGCAGTAGAGGCTTGGTGCCCAAGACATGTGCCTTTTTTCAATACAAAAATAGTGCTACTCCCCATATTTCTTGTTTTCAAAGAGACCACGGGTGCTCGATCCATAGTTTTTCAGCTGTATACGATACTTAGTGAAAAAGGAATCCGCGCGACCGTAGCTGCTCTTAAGATTCGTGCATTTATTGAAAGACCACAGTGTAAAAGTTGCAAATACAAAAAGTTGACGTATTTCAGCCTACATGGCTTTAGTCATAATAATTTAATTATGAATAAAGCTGTGTAGGTTGAAACGCGTAAATTTTTTGTATTTGCAACTTTTACACTGTGGTCTTTCAATAAATGCACGAATCTTAAGAGCAATTACGGTCGTGCGGATTCCTTTTTTCCACTAAGTATCGTATACAGCTGAAAAACTGTGGATCGGGCACCCATGGTCTCTTTGAAAGCAAGAAGTATGGGGGGTAGCACTATGTAATTTTATTTGCCTTGGCCCATTGGAAGCACACTGAAACATGTGGGGGGAGCCCTTCCACATACCTATTAGCATATAATGTATTTCTATGGCAGATTTTTGGGTTTGTCTGGAATGTGTTGGTCATTCAATGAAGTGACTCTGCCTTCTCACCAGTGGAATTACTTCCCGCTCTTCACATAATATTTCTTGATTAAAGCTACGCTTCTTTTAATTTCTCTCTATCAGAAAGTGCCTTCCCTCTAGTCTTGTCTGTTTGTAATCCGCTCGCTTCCTTTCATCCCCGTCACAGCTTCCTTTCGGTGAAAAGACGATAATTGATTCGCAATTTGTTAAAAAGCAGATGTTATCTTTTTGTCGCAGCATCCTTGTTAATTACACTCATGTTGTGATGTTTTTACAGGTGCGGAGTTCTGAAGAATGGTGTCTTTCTACAGCTGCCTCCTCCTGTTGGTTTTAATTACAAATGCCTTGATGGGTGCAAGTGCGCTCGAGCCCAGAGCCAAGCGCCGGAGAGTCTCCGATAAGTACGATGAAGATGTCTGGCTCCATCAGCACCATGACAGGCCTCACCGGAGGTCGGGGTTGGCCAAGAAGGAGAGGACTCACGGTGGAGAGGAGGTTAAGGGTTCCCTGCTCCAGGTGGGGGATGTTGGGCAGCCCGGGACTCTGAAGCAAGACAGACTGCAAAGTTTTGAACTCCCTTACAGTCAGAGGGAAAATCAGCCACCGGGGACGCATACGAAAGGACGCAAGCACAAGACGCAGAGGAGGTCAAATCAAAAGGTGAAACACCACAAAGGTAGGTTGTTACTGAGTGTAGCGCTAAACTTGATAAATATACACTTATATAATTATATAAATCAATGTTAAGGTGCTGTTAAAGTGCAAAACGGTGACTAAAATAAGTATAGTCCATAACGTGTTCAAAACCCAAAAGAGTCTTCAAAAAGCTCCAATGCCTGGATTCGTGGATGAGGCGATAAAGGTATAAAGATTGCGCACTCACCAGATACGCAATCCAAATGCGCATTCAAAGCAGAAATCCGCCGGGGCCCTCATATGGATCTGGTCAGATCTGGTCACACCGCTGTAAGCCCCGTTTCGCCACTAGTCATAGGGGGTTAGCTTACGGTAAGCTAACCCCCTATGACTACGTGCCTTCGCACGAAACGCGTTAGGGAGCGGCTACAGCGGTGTGACGTCACGCCGACCGGCGCCACGAGGGCCCCGGCGGCCATTTGTTATCTTTGTATGGTCAGTATCTCTCCTGCCTCTGCTTGTATACTGTGTGTCTTTGGGAATAAATACCCCTTGCCTATAAGGTATCACACTATTTGGCCTCCTTTGTTCTTTGGGCTCCGGTGGGAGCCCTTTACATCTGCAGAGCGGCCTTTTTTCCTCTATGCGTGGCAAACACCATCAAGTGGCGAGGGGCTTTTGTGACCAGATCTGACCAGATCCATATGAGGACCCTAGGATTATCTGCTTTGAATGCGCATTTGGATTGCGTATCTGGTGAGTGCGCAATCTTTATACCTTTATCACCTCATCCACGAATCCAGGCATTGGAGCTTTTTGAAGACTCTTTTGGGTTTTGAACACGTTATGGACTATACTTATTTTAGTCACCGTTTTGCACTTTAACAGCACCTTAACATTGATTTTATATAATTATATAAGTGTATATTTATCAAGTTAGCGCTGCACCTCTCCCTTTTATGCATTCTGATTATTGTGAAGGTTTTTATGGTACCTTTTTGGTGTTCAGCTGCTATTTTCTCGTTTTAATTTTGTTCACTTATTGATTTTATAAGTTGTTTTAAGCGCTCACTTGTCTTGAGATTTACTGTTACTGAGTGTACTTACCCCTGTTACTTTCATTTGTTAGTATAAAGTCTGAAGAGGAGGGAGCGAGCTTGTTTTTATTCCGTCTATTGCCCTTTAATACTATCACCTTCAAATGTGCAACATTTGGAAAATGTACAGAAATTGTCTGATCTTTAGGTCAATTTTTGGTCACTGGGTCCTTTGAGGGCCGCAGGTGAACAGGCCAACCTGGCATGTCCATGTCCATGACTGCAGAGTTCAAACGCCATGACTTATTACAGTAGAGCTAAGAGTAGCAACACACTGTCCCCTACACAGTAGTCAGTAGCACATTCCTGTGTACAGATAAATGATCCAGACTACTGCCATATCTACCAGTGCAATCCAACTGGGCCCTATCATTGCTGGCCCTGTACTTTTGACTTTTGTTGCTGAATTCGTTAGCTGCGTACTTACAGCTTACCCACTCTGCGTCCATACAAAGAATGAGCAAAATGGCTATGCTAATATTTAGATGCAAATCAGGACATTTTGGCCAAATTTTGTAATTTTGGCAAGATGCATTGGAGTCAACTGACAACTCAAAAGTAAAGGGCTTTCCTTTTTTTTTTTTCCTGTAAAGGGCTGGACCTGTTTTTGTGCCAAAGAAAGTTCCCACTTAGCTGGGAATGTGAAATTGTAATATTAGTCCATTTGTTGCCAGATTATTGGAACACTTTCCTGTTTGTGACCCCATGTATGTTTGTAATTGCCCTATTTTCTTATCTGCATATTGTCATAATTACCTATTTGCAAAGCCCAAATTTTTTAATCTCTTGTTGGCAAAATACATTTTGCAGAACTTCTCCCTTATTACACCTAGAACAGTGGTTCTCAACCTGTGGGTCGTGACTAGAGATGAGCGAATTATTCAAACATTCGGTTCGGCTGATTCGCCGAATTCGCCGATTAAATTCGCTTTGTGCCGAATATATTCGCTGCGAATTTAACTTATAAAAAGGGTGTTTCTAGGCTTCAGAGAGCCTTTATATTAGTGCAGAACACTGTACCTTTAATTTAAATGCCCTTGGAGTCTGCTGGGGAAGAGAAATAATACTGTCAGTCAGTATGACATGCAGATGAGTGCCGTCGATCTTAGAATCACCGCACACTTCACTCATTTGGGCAGTCACGGGGCCAAAACCAGAGTGTGGAGCCACAGTGTGGCGGTGGAGGCAGCAGCAATGGGAGGCCATACAGCACCCTATGACAAAATGGAACCCACCAGCAGTGTGAGGAGACCTGAAAGTGGCACATGGCAGAGTGTGGCGATGGAGACAGCAGCAATGGGAGGCCGTACAGGGACCCATGACACACTCTGGACCTGGCAGCAGCATGAGGAGGCGGTACAGGGGCCCATGACAGATTACGGGCCTGGCAGCAGCATGATGAGTCGGTACGGGGGCCCATGGCAGATTACGGGCCTGGCAGCAGCATGAGGAGGCGGTACAGGGGCCCATGGCAGAGTGGCGGAGCGTAAGCAGCTAAAATTGAAGGCCATACAGAGGCCTATGTTAAAAAGTCCCCCCAGCAGCAGCGTGGGGAGACGACTATCAAGAGTCCAATGGCAGAGTGGCGGAGCAGAAGCAGCTTCAATTGAAGGCCATACACAGGCCTAGGTTAAAAAGCGGAAGCCGTCAGCAGCGTGAGCAGACGACAGAGACACATGGCGCAGGGTGGCGGTGGAGGCAGCAGTATTCGGAAGCCATACACAGGCCTAGGTTTAAAACTGGAACCCAGCAGCGTGAGCAGACGACAAAGACGCACATGGCAGAGGATGGATCTGGCAGCAGTATGAGAAGGCGGTACAGGGGCCCATGGCACAGTGTGGTGATGGGGGCTACAGCAACTGGATGCCAGAAAGTGGCCGATAGGGCTATATACTGCATGACTACATAGGTGGTTTTCATAGTACTTTATTTTGGCCTCCCTCTCAGCAGGTGTGAAAAAGGCCACCATTTTTTGAACGGTAGCGAGGGTCCAACAAGGTGGACAGCCAAAAGTCATCGCTCTATCTGATGGTTATTATTCGGCTGTCGCTACGCAAGCAACCGAGCATGCTATGGGCCATTTGTGCCAAGGAATGCGAGGGACTCCTCCCTGCCTCCATCTCCACAGCATACTGCCACGGTGCGTCTGGGTCCTCTGTCTCCTCCTCCTCCTCTACCAGATGCTCCTGCTCCTCCACTCCTGTCCGCTGAGTGGAAAAACCACCCATTTCACTCAATAATTCCTGAGCACCAATGTCCTCCTCTACCTCCTCCTCTTCTTCCTGTCCTGCCCCCACAGGGGTCATGTGGCGTTGAGATCTGTGCGCCACGTCTACCGCACCCTGACCAGCCATTGTTAACAGCATTTGTTCCAGGACGTGTGCAACAGAGGAATGACGTCGTTCATCCCATAGTCCTGCCGACTCACGAATAGCGTGGCCTCCTCAAAGGGCCTGAGCAAGCGGCAGGTGTCACGCATGAGCTGCCAATGGCTGACATCTAAGTTACACAGGGGAGTACCTTTATCCGCTTTTGTAACATCAGGAAATCGGTGATGGCCTTTCGCTGTTCGTAAAGGCGGTCTAACATATGTAGGGTTGAATTCCACCTTGTTGCAACGTCGCAGATCAGGCGATGCTGTGGAATTCCGTTCCGCCGCTGCAGCTCAAGGAGGGTGTGCTTTGCGGTGTAGGAATGGCTGAAATGCATGCAAGTTTACGTGACATTTTAAGGATGTCTTGCAGTGGGATGGTGGATTTTAGGAACCGCAATTGACAACCAGATTGAACACGTGAGCCATGCATGCGCATGGCACAACCTTCCTTGACGCAGAGCAGACACATGTTGTTCTTTCCGTTGTCGGTCAACATGGTTCCGATTTTCAGTTTGCGCGGAGGACAGCCATCTGTCGATTTCTCTGTTCATTACACTCAGAAGTTCCTCCCCTGTGTGACTATACTACGTTCGCCAAGGCATACCAGGTGCAGCACAGCGTGACACCGTTGTGCCCTGCACATGTGATATGCCGGTCGGGTAATGGGACTTGGCACGGGGGTGGCGGCTGAGGACACGGCGGAAGAAGAGGTGGTAGAGGCGGACATCTTTGCTGGACCAAGGACGTGCAAACGTGGAGGCAAAAGCGGCGTGACCTGTCCAAGTTGCTGGTGCGGCTGTGCCAGCACCACGTTCACCCAGTGGGCCGTAAATGACATGTACTGTCCCTGACCGTAGTTACAGCTCCACACGTCGGCGCTGCCGTGCACTTTGGCAGAGACCGACATGCTCAAAGACTGGCCCACCATCTCTTCTACATGTGATTGCAGGGCTGGCACTTGCCTTTTTGGCGAAGAAATGCCGGCTTGGCACTCTCCACCGCGGCTCGGCACAAGCCATCATTTCTCGGAAAGGTGCTGAGTCCACCACTTGGGAAAGGGAGGGACTGCAGCACCAGCAACTTGGACAGGAGGACGTTCAGCTTCTGCACCGTCGGGTGCGTGCTCGCAAACTGTTGTCTCTTGGAAACGGATTCCAAGAAAGACTGCTGACGGAATCCGTGAAGAGGAGTAGCAGGAGAAGGAGCATCTGAACGAGCGGAAGATGCCAAGCGAGCGACAACTCCCCTCAGCAGAGGTGTTGGAGCCTTGACTGGCTGATAGAGGGCGATTGACGTCGGGTGACGGAGCAAGTAACGGAGCGGGTGATGGAGCGGGGGCTGGGGCAGGCAGAACCGCCGTATCTTTATCACGGTTTTCCCAGGCCACCGAATGGCGACGCTTGCATATGCTGACGCAACGCTGTAGTCCCAACATTGGCCCCCTGGCCACGCTTGACTTTCTGGCCACATAGTCGACATACGGCTACGTTTACTTCCTCGGGCGGCGTGATGAAAAATTGCCACAACACACCGCCGAGTAGGAAACTTTGCCCCCGCTACTCCTCCACT